GGGGAAAATAGCTGTCATTTCCTTATCCATATCTCCAATTCCCTCATTTTCAGCCAGCCAATTTTCTCCCCCCCCCCCCTTCTGCCTACTGTAAGGAACTTTTTACTCTGATCCATTCTCAGCAGATCAGGGCTCGCAATTTCTTTGAGCTTCTCGATTAGCCTTTGTACGGGAATCTACTTTTTCATTAAAAGGAAGAAAAAGGAAAAGACTTCAGTCTCCTTTTGGCTTCATCGTCTATATATTGGTGTGCATTTAAAGCCTCTGCTCATTGACTGCACCAAATTGTCATCCTGATGAATGCATCCCACATGTGTAACTTCGGAGCGAGCTCAAAATCATCATTTCTCATGAAATAACAAAAATTCTTTAGCGTGTCCTGGTGACTGCGTATGTGCAATGAAGCCAAAGTGAAATAATGAAGAAAATAACGAGACTGCATTTGGGAAAATCACTGTTTTATTAGAAATGTGACAAGTCCTTCTAGTATAAGGTGACCAGACATCCCACTTTTGGCGGGACAGTCCCAATTTTTAACAATTTGTCCCGCGGCATTTTTAAAAAGTCCCGATTTTTGGAGAGAATGCACAACAAAGTAGGGTATATGGTTTTCGGCTGCCATGTGGCTATTTTGCCAGGATATGATTTTATCAATGGTGTCCCGCTTTTGTCCGGCTTTACGAATGTTAAAATCTGGTCATCTTATTCTAGTATGATGTCTGTACTACGAAGTTAGATGGTACACTAGGGGAATCTACTCCCAAAGACATCTTGAAAGCATTCAAAAGCAAAGATCTCACTTTCAAGAGTAAGGTTTGAATGGCCCGAGCCAAGTGGTTCTCAATCACTTCCCATCTATATGAAAGCAGAGCGCTGAAGGCAGAGGACTGAAGAAAACTCGGTACCTTGAAGTCCAGTCTTGGCACAGATTACTGAATGGGTCATAGGCCACCAGATGAACAAACAAATCTGTCTTCAGAGGAAGGACAGCTGAAACGGTCTTTAGAAGCAAGCGTGGTCTCATGAACTTTGGACCTGCCCTCAGGAGGGACCAGTCTCTGGAGAAGAGCATCGTGCCTGGTACAGTAGAGGGGCAGCGAACAAGGAAAACTCTCAGGGAGATGGAGTGACACGACGGCTCCAACAATAGACTCAAACGTGCAATGGTTGCGAGGCTGCCACAGAAGCGGACAGTGTCTTGTTCGGTGGTACCTGAGGTCACTGTGAGCTGGAACCTACTCAGTGGTACCTCACCACCACGCATGGCAGGGAAACGGGCCTGGGCCTTGAACCGGGTTCATCTCTCAGATGGGCTCACTAAGTCATTGGTAAAATCCTTTTCCTAGGACAAGGAGCCCTGGTGGGACAGGGGTTAATAAGCTCTTGCCTGCTCGCTGAGAGTCCCAGTTCGAGCCCACCAGTGGCTGTGCTAGAGGAAAATGTCTGCTTTTGTAAAGGGCGCAGCCTCGGAGACCCTCGGGAACAGTTCTGCTTCGTCTCACAGGCTTGCTCTGAGCATGACTGGCTCTGATGGTAATGGGCTTGGGTTTGGGGTCGTGTGGGGCATAGGAGAATAAGTCAGTTGTCACTGAGTCAGTATGGCTCATGGAGCCTCTATAAGTGTCAGAGTGAAATTATGCTCCATGGCTTTTCAAAGTAGACCACCAGGGTGTTTTTTCCCTAAGGTACCTCTGAGTGCCCTCAAAATATCCACCTTCAGGTTAACAGCTGAGCACATTAACCATGTCAGCCACCCAGAGACTTCGCCTTGCACAATGTGTACCCTATAGCTATCTGCTATCTTCCTGCCTGGAGGCATGAACTACAGCCTCCATGTGACCCCATCATTGACAGAGCACTTTCTTTTCTTTATTATCAAGGATTAAAAAAGGCTACATTGATAGCTAAGCTTGCGTTCCACTGACTTAGAAACGACTGATCGGCAGTGAGAGGGCTTTTGAGAAAGCTTGATATCAGATCTAAAGAACGTTTTAACGGAGTATCCCATCTGATCAGATCTCACCTACATATTCTTTCTCGCGTTTAAGCTATGTGTTTCCTTCTGAGTGGGCCTGCCAGTTGGTTTGAGAGGATGTGTTCTCTATCTTCCCCCAGGCACGTCATTTCAGAATAATGCTTTCACACGCCTGTTCTGGAAGACTCAAGGCCTCAGAGACTGAGGTGCCTCTGTACACAAAGCTCAAGGTCCCCCGGTTCTTTCTACAGTAAGAGCTTCTTTCTTGATTCTAGACCCTACCCATAAAAACATCGATCCTCTCAGCTCGCTTCCCGGAAAGGTAGAAACATAATAAATATAATCTATATACCATTAACACTTCTGAGAGGTGGTCTGGGGGTGTGCTGGGCTATGCGTTGGCTGCTAACCGCAAAGTCAGGAGTTCAAAATCCTTTAAGTTTCCGAGACGCTAACTCTTTACGGGAGTCGAAAGCCTCATTTGGGCCACATCCTTCTTTATTATTTCCAACCCTTTATCATAACTTGTGGCTTCTCCTAAGCATGGGCTTTGATAAATGAATCTCCTTCCATGCCATCAAGTCAATTCCAACTTGCAGCAACCCGATAGCACAGAGTACCACTATCCCATAGGCTTCCAGGGCTGGGAATCTTTATGCGAGCAAAGTTTCATCTTTCTCTCAGGGGGAAGATGGTAGCTTTGAACCATTGGCCTTCTGGTCCCGGCCTAATTCATAGCACCACTAGGGATCTTATAAATGAACACAGGTCCACTAGTTACAGGCCTCGGGAACCACTTCATTGGTTGTAGAGAGTGGATGACTTCAAAGAATGGAAAGATGACAACAATCTAGCCTTATGTCTACTTATGATTGGACAGTCTGATACGTTACATAGAATTTCAGTTATGTTTGCATATTTTTTTAGGTTATGAATTTGTTTTATTTGGATTTGAAACTGCTCTGGCCAGCGAATTTTATGATTATTTCTGACACACTACTCTCTCAGCAGCTTTTCTGTTCTGAATGAGGCTTCTCTCCCTCCGAGATGGAGCCTATGAATATACTGGTCTTCGTCCCTTAGCCTCGATTCCCAGTTTGGAGGGCATTCCCTCTGATGTGAGTGGACAAGCTTCAGGTGGGATGTATCCTAAGCCTCCACCTTAGTAGAAGATGGGAACCAAGTCACCATCTTTGTTTCCTTAGCATTAGGGTCGGCTGAAAGATAAAAACTTCACCTCCATCAAAGCCAGAGAGAGAGAGAGAGAGAGAGAATTAGTTAGTTAGTTAATTCTTGGGACCATCAAGGAAAAGGATACTAGTGGAACTCACTCCCTGATTGAAGTGGTGGAGGCAGTAGAGTCTGTACCACATCAAGACCAGAGGCTGAGCCAAGGAGACCATGAGACAGAGCAGGGGAGCAGAGCAAAGATTATGAAACTGTGAGTGTGAGGTGGACCAGCAGGTGCGCTTCCTTTCCCATGAAGTCAGAGAGCAAGGGACCACCACATGGTTGAGTGGCTGATGACCAGAAAGAGAGTTAGCTGCTGGCTGAGGAGACGTGCTATGTGGACCAGGGACTGTGCATTCATACTGTTTACCCATCATGACTTGTGGTAACCTGTTAGCTCCCCTCCTAAACCCCCAGAATTGTGATTTTTTGGGGGGTGCGTGTCTAATAATTGTTTGTGGCCATTGCAAAACTTTTGGGCCCAGCAGACAAGTTGAGTGCAGTGGGAAGAAAGGCTGGCCTCAGACTAATGTAAAACAAGGATAGAGATTGGAGCCATGCTGCCCTCTGCCTTGTGGCAGTTGGCCTGGGATTTGTGGGGAGCGGGGTTCTCTTCTCCCTTGTGAAGCCAGAGGGGGTGAGATATGACCTCCACCCTGGAGGCTGTTTTCGCACCCTCTTACTCACCCTTTCTCTATCCCCCTCATAGAATCGAGGCTTTACAGGAAATGCAGAGTTATCTCAGGTTGCTAAGTATCTTCTCACCAAACGACATGTATTTTGGAGCAGCATATTTTTAGCATCTGACACTTGACAAGCATATTGAAGATGTTTTCCATACACGTCCGTTCTGACCATTGTTAGCAAAGAATCCAGTTGGTTTCTGATGAAGTCAACAGAGGGAGGCACACGGCTTGCATGGAGACAGAGATGCATGCATTTTTCTTTAAAATGGATATAAAACCTTGGGAGAATGAATAATGGGATTCAACTCAGAGATGGCTTTTGATATTTAGGATTCAATTACCGCATCGTTATTGTGCTACTTTGCTTGAACTGAATAGGGAGTCCCTAATGCTGAACTATGGTCAGAGAAAACGAACATGGCCATTTGTCCGACTGGCCCTGGGGTAATGCCAGAGCCATCGGTGGAATGCTGTCTTCCTTGAAAGGGCCCTGGTTCATGTCAGGAGAGGAAAACGAATCTATTCAGAAGGTAGAGTTAAGTCCACTGGGGATTACTGACAGATTAGGCACAGTTCTTATTCTTCTGAACCTTTCAAACCTAAGCATGTTTCAGAGAGGGGAGTTCTCTGACTTGGACTCGTAGGGGACTCGGAGTGAGAAAAATTGCTCCTGATATATCAGTGACACCGAAGAGATGTTCCCTTTTGTTGCCCTGCCAGTGAAAATGAGGCTGATGGAATGTCCTTCATTACCTGCTGCTGGTTGGCGTCCAGTCCATGCTGACTCATCCTGACCGTGTAGGTCCGGGTAGAACTAGCCTAGCCCAGAGGGCTTCCTAGGATAGACTTTTTATGAAAGTAGATTGCCTCGTCTTTCTCCCATGGAATGACTGGTGGGTTTGAACCAACCACTTTCCAGTTGGTCGGGTAGTGCTTTAACAATTGCACCATGAAGGCTTATTAATCTCTTGGTAATTGTGTCTAGTTATCCTGTAGTGTCAGTACTAATCAAGAGAAGGAATTTAGGAGCAGGGCTTGATAACATCAGTGATTTCTATAGATTCCCCAGGCTAAAACATCAATTTGTCATTAAATAAGTGTTCAAAGAGAACTTCGTTTGTCCAACCAGTGTTGGGTTTCAGTCCTATGTTGTTACTGCTGGTAGGTGCCCTTGGGTCTGTTCTGAGACCCTATTGAAACGTAAGGACACACTGCCCAATCCTGCACCATCCTCACAATTATTGTTAGATTTGAGCCCATTGTTGCATCCAGTGTATCGATCCATCTAGCTAAGGGTCTTCTTCTTTTCACTAGCCCTTCTAACAATCATGCCGCCTCCTTATCGCCTGTCGAAAGTGTGAGTCGAAATCTCACAAAGTTCTCTTCTAAGAAGAATTCTGTCTGTTGCAACACAGATTTGTTTGTCCTTCAGGTGGTCTGTGGTTCAATATTCTTTGCCAACATCATCATCCAGTGCATCATTTCTTGGATCTTCCTTGTTCTGCCCAGCTTTCCAATGCATATGAAAGGATTCAGAATACCATGGGGGAGCACTTTGCTGAACTCTACAGAATGCCCACTCCCATTTTTGTAATCCTCCCTTCCCTAACCTTAGAGCCCTTTGATGGCGCGACCGGTTAGGGCACTGGGTTGCTAACTGGAAGGTTAAAGGTTCAAGTTTACCCAGAGGTGCCTTGGAAAAAGGCGTGGCGATCCAGTGCCCAAAACATAGCCTTTGAAAACCCAATGGACACCGCCCAGATCCTCAGACCCTCTTCCTAGTAAAGACTCGAACCTCTGCTTCCGATTTAGAGACCCTGGGTTTCATTGTCAGGAAAGGGATGACAACTCACATGGGCTGGTGGGCTAGTGCTTACAGGTTGGGCTGGGGCCACCAGCTCCGCGGGAGAAAGTTACAGTCTCTGAGACCGACAGGGGGTCGCGATGACGTTGACCCAATGGCAGTGGATTTGGTTTTGGTTTGGTCCACCAAAGCAGTAGCCCACGCTCTATGAAGTTGTGGACCAAAAGTTTGAATATTCTGAATTCTTTATCTTCTGATTAAAATTGGGAAACAATGTCTTTCAATTAGGGAACCCAGGTGGCATAATAGGTCACGTGTTCGGTTGCTGACTATAGTGTCATCAGTTCGAATCCACCAGCTGCTTCTCAGTGAAAGATAGCAGTCCAGCTGCTCCTGCGTCCATGGTGATTTACTGCCTCGGGAAAACTAGAGCGCAGTCCTAAAAAGAAACACGAGAAAGCCATGGCACATCTGAGTCCTCACGGTGACATCCTGGCTCTTCAGTGCCTTAAAGAGGTCTTTGGCAGCAGAATTGCCCCAGCGCAATACATTGTTTGATTTCTTGACTGCTGCTTTCATGAGCATTGATTATGGATCCAAATAAAATTAAATCATTGACAACTTCAATCTTTTCTCTTTTTATCATGATGTGGTCTGTTGGTCCAGTCAAGAAGATGTCTTATTTTTTAAAAATAAGGTCTAATTTATCCTGAAGACTATACTCTTTGATTTTTACCAATAAATACTTCAAGTCTGCTTGGCTTTTAGGAAGCAAGATTGTGCGCTGCTAATGAGCCTTCCTCCAATCCAGATACCCTATTCTTCATGTAGTCCAGTTTCTCAGATCGTTTTCTCAGCCTACAGATTGAATAACTATGGTGAAAGACAACCGCTTGGATGCACGTTTCTTGGTTTTAAGCCATTCATTAGTCTCTTGTTTTGTTCAAATGCATGTCTCTTGGTCTATGTACAGAGTTGGCATGAGCAAGATTAAGTGGGCTGGAATTTCAATTTCTTGAAATGCAGTTATTCATAGTTTTTTTAATGAACCATAAATCCACAAGTTCATAGTTTTTTATAATCCACAAAAATGTCTAATAATTTTATACATTTAATAAAAGACAGGTAAACATCTTTTGATATTCTGAAAGCGCCCTATGTATGTACCACTGAAACTGTTTTGGAAATATCTTCAGCAAAATTTTATGTGTGTGTAGCATTAATGATATTATACAATGATTTCTGCAGTCAGTTGGGTCACCTTACTTAGGGATGGACACACGTATGGCTCTCTTTCCATTGGTTTCCCAGGTAGCTGTCTTCCAAATTTCTTGGCATAGAAAAGTGAGTGCTTCTCGCACATCAGCTTTCTGAAACATTTCAAGAGATGCGTCATCAATTCCTGGAGCCCTGTTTTCCACTAATGCCTTCAGGGCAGGTGGACTTCTTCCTTTCATGTGACCAGTTCTGGATCATAGAGTGTGTGTAAAAATAATCTCTAATATCTTTTAGGAGAAAAGGTTCACCGATGAGACTTTCTAAAATGAACTTCTTTCAAGAACTATGCAACATGAGGATGTGTGAACTTGCCAGTCAGGGTGAACTTGTTTGCGGTCTAATCATAGGATTGTTGTGTGATGACTATCCCATTGGCAGGCACTCCTTGTCCAAGAGATTGTAATTGGCTGTTGGAGACTCAAGGGAGGCTGGGAAGACTTATCCACAACCAAATAAAAGATAACAGGGACTTTATTTGCCTCCAACCCTGCACTGATCAGTATGAGACAAAGTGGAGACCCCTGGGGGTGGGGGGTGGGTGGGAGGCCTCTTTGCTTTGCCAGGTGGAGGAAGAGAGCTGTGGGTCCAAACTGCAGGACTGCTAAGGAATGGGCGAGAAGGGAGAGAACTTTGCAGGCTGAACTTTGGTGTCTTATTTATTCCTCTTGGCTACAGAATGCTTGCCAGCGGGAGACTCATCACTAAGATATTACAGGAAAATGAAGCCAGGCAAGAAAAATCTGTATTACTTTTCTCCTCACCCCATAAATTTTGATATTAATAAATCAGATTCTTATAGAACAGCCTGCCACAGCTGCCTCTAGAATCAAGGTTTCATTTGAAGAATAATTATTCAAATACATGTTAGTTTCAAGGGCAGCCATCATACTTTTAAGTCAAAATGGGTGTCTTTGAGATCATGTGTGCATGCTCCTTGCCCCTAATATATTTCTTACCTAGCACCCTAATGCATTTCTTATCTAGCAATTGTAGAATTTCTGTTACTGCATTATAGTTGGCTATATACAGTGGGGTGCTAGCTCTGAAAATAACCATCATATATCTGCACATAAAATACATTTTCATTGAGGCCACAATATCGACAGCGTTGTGCTAAATTCTGAGCATACAGCCATGACCATGCTGATTTCCTCTCCAATACCAGGCTGTGAGTACACAGTTACCTAGATAACCAAGTGTAAGTTGAAATTTTGTAATTGTAATTTTGATAAGTGCTATGAAAAAAAGAGTCCTGTCGACACAATATCTAGTTGGTTGATTTAATATAATTACTGGAATATAATTTAATAAAATCCTTTGAGGAACGGACACTTGGCTGACTGCTTCAGAGACGAATAGGAGCAAAGTAGGCGAGAGCCCCAAGGGAGCACACGAAAGAAGAAGAACCTTCTAGACATATGGACGGCAAGTGTGTTTGCAGGCCCTTTACCTCCAATGGTTGATTGAAACTGGTGAACAATGAGCCTTCAAGGCTAACTTCTGTTAAAAAAAAAAAAAAGGAACGGTACAGCGATGCGGTCAGGTTGATGCCCCCATTTACCAAAAGTCCATTCTGCACCCTTTTTTATGAAGCAAAGAAATGATCTTCATTGTTGTTGCTAGCTGCCATGGGGTTGAGCCCCCACTTGTGGCAATCCCGCATACAATGGAACTAACATGGCCCGGGTCGACACCATCCCCACACCATCCCCATGGCCCTTTGTAGGCCCAACCACTGTGGTCCATATGGCTTTCACGGGCTGATTTCTAGACAAAGATCATCAGGCCTTTCCTTAGACCCAGCTTTAGTGGGGAAACGTCTCTGAAACGATTCCCATCATCGCAATACCAAGTTCCTGCTGCCAGGTGAATGGGGCTTATGAGTGATGCCCATTGGTGGGGGATGGATCCTGAGGTGGCTTCTCCACGTCAAGGGAGAGTTCTGCCACTGAACCACTGATGACTCATCGGATAAAATCAGCTGGGGTTGCTGTTGCTAGCTGTAGTTTTCCTCTGTCCCAACTTCACTCTCTTCTTCATTTACAGTTTGGTCATTATTACTGAATTTTATTCAGCTCCCTCTCTCAGGTGGGATGATTCATATGTGCTCCTTCAGCACTGAATGGCAGAGACTCGTCACTCCGAACAATGACGGGGGCATGTAAGATTAATTTAATATGATATAAAAGCACTTCCTACAAGGGCTTTGTCCTTGCCTTTTAAAAAAAAGTAAATGCTGGTTTTTCTCTTCTTCCCCAATTTACAGAATTCGTGCAAAGAAAGTACAGAGAGTGCTCATATATTCAGCACCCAGTAGCTCCTTTAAGTAAGGCCTGACATTCTGCGGTGCATTGTCATCATTAACAAGCCAATGTTGAGCACTGAGTATTCACTGAAGCCCATTCTCTACTCAGATGCCCTCGGGTGTTTTCGTTGGTTTTAGTCTCCTGGCCCTTTTCTCTACCCATCAGCACATACCACATTGTGTTTGCGTGGTATGTCGTCATGCCTCCTTAGGTCTTTCTTGGTGTTCTCAGTTTTGCAGATTTCTCTTGTTTCTGACAATGTTGACAGTTCGGGGATTTGGTAGACTGTTTCTCACTTGGGATTTGTCTTGTGCTTTTCTTATGTTTAGACTGGGGCGAACGTGTTCTCGGTGGTGGGGGGGGGGATGATTATAGAAGTCAAAGGCCACTCCATATTGATGGTCCATACTGTCAATATGACAGCATTGTTATCCCCCCCAGGATATTATCCTCCTTCACCTGACCTGCGGGAGTGTTTGACAAGTTTCCCTGCTGTTGAGTGACTCTTGCTGCCTCCCTTTTGTACTGAGCACTCTCAACGGGAATCATCAGACGCGGCCTGTGTTCCAGGACTGGGATTATGTTTCATCTCCTTAGAGATGGTGTATGGCTATTAATGACTTGGAACTGCTTATTGTCCTCGGTTTATTTATTTATATAGTCATTTATTTCTAGCAGTATGGGCTCATGAGTATTTATAATTTGAAGTCGAATCTACCGCTACTTGTTGAATTTTGCTGCTCACTTTGTTCCAGTGAGAGCCATTGAGAATT